ATTCACGTATTTTATTAGACGCTTTCCATCTAACCCAGTTCACAGAAATAATATATTAACGAAGAACACGCTGAATACGAACACAGAACGCCTAAGGCGATTTTGTTTTATTGTGCCGCTCGAAAATGGGATACGTGTGGTGAAACTTGTCGCAAAGCCACTGTAAATATACAAACATTAATCTTCAAATGAAAATTGTAAAACGCAATTACCGGCATGCCGATAGGACAGTGTCAAATTTGCTACCGTTAGTACAAAGAGAACGAACGTATGTGCGGCTTTAAAAACACTTACCGCATGTGAACATTTTTAACGCGAGAGGCAAACATTTCCAAAAACTAATTTTGAAAATTGGAGAGTGAAATTAACAACCAACTATTACGAAACGGATAACTATAATCACCAGATTATAATTATTAAATCCTGTTATATTTGACAAATAGTAAATATTCTACATCAAAAAACTGTTTGAGTAAATAAAGGGTGTTTCCAAAAAACATCATCCTCACGTAAAAATAAGATTTATTTTTCATATCAACATAGGTCCAATTTTGCTTTGTTTTGTAGGTACAGGGTATTAAAGTCTTAATAATTTTTCGATTTCTTATAATTTTCTTCTATGTACTTTTAGTGATTCGAATGAAATTTTGAGGGTAAAAGTTACTATGAGTAGAGTTAACTACAACCTACCCATCTAACAAGTTTAAATATCTCAAAAACCAAAGATTTTAAACATATTTAACCCTTAAAACAAATGCCTTTTTTTGGGCTCAAGAATCCAAAAATGAAATAAAATACCGGGTGTTCCATAAGAAAAAATATAATACCCATGTATAACTTTGGTATGGATCTTAGTTTTGAAACACCCTGTATATTTCATAACAATTTTAAATTGTGCATATTGCCTCTCCACATATACCCATGTAGAATGTAGAATGTTTAGGAGGGGAGCTAATCACCATTTCCCCACAGAATCTGCATTCGCCGTTATTTCTCAGCTTCAGCCTACTGAAGTGTTCGTTGAGGAGACAGTGTCCTGTTAGAAACCCTGTGACTAATAATAATATGTGACTATAATAAATGCCTTTTTTTTGGGCTCAACAATCCAAAAATGAAATAAAATACCGGGTGTTTCATAAGAAAAAATAATATAACTTTGGTATGGATCTTAGTTTTGAAACACCCTGTATATTTCATAATAATTTTAAATTGTGCATATTGCCTCTCCACATATACCCATGTAGAATGTAGAATGTTTAGGAGGGGAGCTATTCATCGCGATCTTATAAATCTATCGTGTTTCCCCTTTCTTGAATTATAACGAGTTATAACTCACCATACAGTATCAAGGCTTTAACAAAAGCCAGTATCTGAGACGGCTCCACAGAGACCAGCTCTCCATCCTCTACATCAGTCGTACCAAAGTTCATGGTACGAATCGTCGTCGTCTCGGCGCACTCAGTGATAAGGTGTTCTGGTGTTTCCCTATTTCCCCACAGAATCTGCATTTGCCGTTGTGTCCCCACAGAATCTGCATGGTCGTCGTCTCGGCGCACTCAGTGATAAGTTGTTCTGGTGTTTCCCTATTTCCCCACAGAATCTGCATTTGCCGTTGTTTCTCAGCTTCAACCTACTGAAGTGTTCGTTGAGGAGACAGTGTCCTGTTAGAAACCCCGTGACTAATAATAATATGTGACTATAATAAATGCCTTTTTTTTGGGCTCAAGAATCCAAAAATGAAATAAAATACCCGGTGTTTCATAAGAAAAAATAATATAACTTTGGTATGGATCTTAGTTTTGAAACACCCTGTATATTTCATAATAATTTTAAATTATGCACATTCCCTCTCCACATATACCCATAAAATATTTTGTTTCTACATCTTTCGGTTTTCGTATAATCAACCGAGGCGAATGAGGTGCGCCACCTTGTATATTAATAATAATAAAATTAAAGATCCGTCATATTTCTGCCTCAATTATTTTGAAACCAGCAGTAACCATTGTAAGAAAACAATTAATAACTAATTTATGACGTACAGACATATAAATTAAGAATAAAATAGTATAACGAAGAGAATCTTACTACTTTAGTTATGAAGACAATTAATATGAATCTCTAAAATATAATCCGCCATTATCTTGCCATAAAGCCATTATGCACCAACAATTTTCGCTCATGATATATGGATTTGAGAAAATGACAAAAGGCATTTAGCTTGGAGGAATCCCTCAACCCGCCTAGTCGACGTCTAACAAATCTACACCCGTCACTTACAATTAACTTGCTAATTTGCGGCTACGCGTGTTAGTTATATGATGTATGTTATTACAGTGATCATATAGAAGCTTGAAACAGATTCTTAACCACACGACATTTTTTATAAGTCAGTTTTGGAACTCTTTTTAGGGTTCCGTACCCAAAGGGTAAAAACGGGAACCCTATTACCCTTGTTTATATATTAATAGTTAGTCAATGTGCCTGTATAAGTCGATGCTGCCAACTGGTGGCAGAAATTAAAACGTAAAAAGGGGCGGAGACTATTGAATTTGGCAAAGAAGTAGGGACTAGGAATTCTTCGAATTTAATTCTCGGTAAAGAATAAAATATCTTATCTGCTTTGAACCGAATTTTTACCTCAAAAGCGTTATTTACATTTTTATTTTTGGATATGGATTTATATTTATTTTGATTTTCATGGCCCCCTTGTTAAATACTAAATTATTATATTAGGTATATATGTATATATTTTATTTCTAGATGGATAATTAAAAAAATATATGAAACTATACCTACCTACCTCTGTAACTTTGTAAAAAGTATGACGGATTTAACATAATGTTTTTTTTTAAATGTAACATCCTATTTTATTTTAGATCCTGCGTAAAATTATTACTTTTTTATGTATAATCCTTGTATAATGGTGTAACCTAAAACTAGTTTTCTAATATTTCAATTTGTTGATGAAGAAAAAATATTAGATACTATGTAGATATTTAAGGCAGATGCTACAGGGTGTTCAACATATATTAATGGTTAATTCTACGTATTTAAAATTAAAAAAATATCTGCAGACTCTTTCAATGACACAGCCTATACTGAGTGTTTTTTTTTAAAGTGGTTCACCTCTATAACTTTTTTATTTTTTCAGATTCCGAGAAAAAAACTAAATTGGGAATGTTAGTAGGTATATGACATAAATCGAGATTGATTCGTATTCAGTTAGTTTCGGTCACTTCCTGTTTCACCGGAAATGTATACATTTGATTTTTAAATGGTACCCTCGGTATTTTTTATACCGTAAGATCGAATAAAAACGGCGTCAGCGATGGCTATGAAATGAACATCGATGACATTTCTCATATAAATTTACATATAAAATGACAGCGCTTTTCATTTCATAGCCATTGCTGACGCCGTTTTTATTCGATCATACGGTACTTTATTTGATAGAAAATGACATTCTGAATAGAATGACAACTTTTGACATCAACAATCATATGTCAACTTTTGACATTTTCAATTAAATCAAAAATAGCATTTTAAAATTCAATCTAGTGTCATGGCTGTGTTAAAACCATTATTTTTTAATCAAGGATTAATCAAGGAGCTTTGGAAAAATTGATTTGGTCGTCTAATATTTTTTGTGTCTTTTCCTGGTCAGTTGAAATATGCCCATTTCGTATTTTAATCATAACTCAATTTTTTTTAATGAAACGAGAGTGGCTCATTAGCATATTTGGAAAAGCATTTTTTGATACCTAATAAATTTTGGTACCTAATTTTGGTAAATAATTTGGTACCACACACTCCGTATGTCGAGTCAAACTGTCGTTATCTTTACGACCGGTTACATGTTGTTTATTATCATGGCACTCTACTAGATTGAACTTTAAAATACTATTTTTTAAGTAAAAGAGTCAAAAGTTGACATTGAATTATTCTATTGAGAATGCCATATTCTGCAAAATAAAGTAAAAAAATACCGACGGTACCATTTAAAAACCAAAAGTTGTAGTCATTTCCGGTGAAACAAGAAATGACCGAAACTAATTGAATACATCAATCAAGCTACTTTTGAAAAACACCCGATATATTATAATTCTTTCTGATAGATTTTACAAAATCCTTCAACTTCTATTAAGAATGTCATATAACTAAATAAATCACTTTACTTAATGTTTAATAATAAATAATTTTTGTTTTGTCATATGGCAACTTGTTATAATGTAAATGAATTAAAAGAAGGATAAAATTCAGAACAGATTGCAAGCTGTTGAGTATAGGTGTACTTAATATACTTTCTTAACAAATGTTGAAAGGTTTTGTAAAATCACTAGAAAAAATAATAATATATATATCGGATCAGCCAAAAAAAATGTTTGAACACAGTGTAGCATCTAACTGCAAGTATTTTTACATATAAATATATTTTTTTTTCATCTCTGTAAAACACTCCTACCAAATTTGTGTAGTCCAACTTCGGAAACAACTGACAGTTAAGTAACATAGGAATAAAATTTTACTTTTTTTTTAAATTGTAAATACTTACTAACGTTATTTATAAAAAAAAGTTATAGAATTTTAGGCAGAATCGAAAATAAAATAAAAATGGAGTTTTGCATTAAAAAACATGTATCCGCCACATTTTTTGAAGCAACCAGTATACTCAAAAATAACATTTGAACTGTGTCTCTAAAGATTCTCTATACCCTTTTTTTTATTTTTTTGGAATTCCCAAAACAAACGAGATAATTAACTTTATTTCTTTCGTGATATCTCATTTTATAATATTTCGGAAGAATTAATCAGGTATCTTATTTTTATAATTATTAGAAATAAATCGGAATTAAAGGATAAGGGATATGTAAATATATACCATACGATAAAAAAAAACGGCCTCAGAGGTGGTTTGGAAATGAATATCGATGTCATTTGTACGTAAACAAATAGACGCCGTTTTTTTTCGCTCATACCGTATAAGAAAAAAAATTTAATAAAGCAAACGCATTTATTAATACATGTATATAGATTTACATGGTATGAAGAAATTCGCATTATGATCTCTGAAGGTCCCACCAATGCTTGGTTAAAGTGGCGAGTACGACCACTTAGCAGTCACACCTATAATAATTTAATAAAATATGAATATAATAAACAAACTTATTTCTTTTAGATTTTTTAAAAGCGAGTTATATGTGTTAAGTGGTTTTTGATTATTTTAGCTAATTTTTTAGACATATGATTATTTTAGACCAAATTGTCTGCCCACTCAAACGTCTTTCAAAATTATAATGTAGGAAATTCTTAATATGTTTTAATTGGGAATACTTTTTAGAAAGTTTCATTTTCACCAAACAAAACTACGTGTGTATAATAAATTGCAGTATAATCAACTATAATGCACGATATATACTGGGGGCGTCAAAACTAGATGTTGGGTTTTCTCAATTATTTCGAACAGAAGTCCAATTTTTCTCCAAAAATTTTGTCCAACTTTGTTTGAAAAATAATTTTTAAATCCATAATCGATGTTTATACAGCAATGTCCTCTTTTAGAATAGATAATTATTTTCAGCTGCATCGATAAAATAAATCATATTTACTGATGCCAAGTAAAAAAATAATTAGGAAATTATTTTAGACATCTAATTCTTAATTTTTGTCGCTGATAAATAGATACATCACTTTTGACGACAAACCTACTAATAAAAATTGCGTAAAACAAATCATGTTTATTCGCAAAGAGACAATTGAAAACAATTTAATAACTATTAATTTGGGATATAGATCTTAATAAAACAAAAGTTGCATAAAAGCTTTGTTGATTTATGATATAAAAATACAGTGTTTCATTTGAAATAGCAAAAGAAAAATATAATATCTAGTTTTGACTCATCCTGTATATAATAAACAATTTAGTCTATTTTAATATTATTATATGAATTATATAATTATTAATTATTAACTTAAATTAGTTCAGTAAAAAACGTCGATATTACCTATTTTTAACAACTTAGAAAGAGGGCTTTAAATATATATTTTATTATATAAACAATAAAATTCAATCAAAAAGGGTCAAAATATATTCTTTGGTCAAAATGAACTCTATACGACTACGACATTATGGTATTTTTTGGAATGACAATTTAATAACAAATCAAGCAAAAATACAAAATATAGCCTTTCTTTTCACAAACTCATAACCTTTGCTCATAACTAATAACTTTAAAAGTAAATATATATTTGAATCATCCTGTATATCTATAAAAAATACCTCCCTGTCAAATTTACGCTACTTTTGCAAGCATATTTTACAAAAAATATGATTTGAGTGAAAATATAAAATAGGAAATCTGATATGAAGCTTTATCTAAACACAGGGTTGACTGTAGATAAACAATATTTTACGTTATCAAGTTATTAAGAAAAATTCTCGGAAAAATTATAAAATACACAATATATCTGACAATTCCAAAAAAGCAAAGTGAGAAATGAAACAATTTATAGCATAAAATCAGTATTTTTTTTAAACTTTTAAGCAAACTGGGCATTATCGTTTAATCTATCTATCAATCTATCAAATGTTTATTATTAAACTTATCTCAGACTCTATAACATTTTTTCCCAAGAGTGATTTAAAACAAATTTATATGAATTTAGAAATAAATATGAACAGTATTTACTTACCTGTAAAACAGATGCTTTTTGCTTAATTAAATATGTTGGAAAATATTATCCAGTAGGTACAAATACACAACACTTAAACACAACAAAATAAACTAATAAAATAATAGTTTCTAATCCAAATTTCACAAATACTGTTTATGTTTCTTCGCGAGGACGAAAAAACTGAATTTTTAATTACTCAGATATGCATTAAGGTATATTTCAATTCAAAAGCTTATAAATATTTATTTTTATAAGACATAACCTAAACGAAACGAAATTACAAGTCGAGAAAGATCAACAAAACTGCCGAATTTAGAAGCGAATATAACTTTTTCCTTTTTCTTGTCACAGTTGAAACAAACAAGGATAAAGCTATTTTCGTAAAACATGGGTGAAACGTGCTAATAAGTGGCCCAATAGATGTGACCTCGCGCCCTTCCATTTTTGAACGATGGGCGGGTTTAACGGATTCCCCTCAAAGAAAATCGTAGGGGAATACAAAAATTCAGAACGGGCAAGGCGCCACCTAGAAGACGGGCTTGTACTAAGCCCTCATTGTACATCTATTTATACATAATCAAGGCTATTACTAAGACTTCCCTATCCGTTCGTCCGTTTGTCACAAAGGTCTATCTTATGAACCGTTATCGCTAGACAGTTGAAATTTTCACAGATAATGTGTCTATGTTGCCGCTATAACAACAAATACTAAAAACAGAATTAAATAAATGTTTATAAATAAAAAAGTACTTTCACTAAACATTATCTTTTAAGTAAGAATTTTGCATAGAATCTTCTTTCAAGTCCTCAGTGGCCGCGTGGTTAAAGCGTTAGGACTTTACGCTGCTATGACGTTGGAGCCGTAGTAAGGCAGGTTCGAATCCTAGTCAAGGCGACTTCTTTTTAATCGTTTTTTTTTTATTTTTACATATTTTTACATATTCATTTTTACTTTTTACATATTTATTATTGATTATTACAATGAGTGAATTTTTGATATAATTCTCAAGTGAATTTGCAAAACCTGACGTTCGGAACCTATTTAACTTTTCTACAACCATGTATTTATTCAACTACATAAATAGGTACAAAGCAAAATAACTTTCTTAAAGACTACATTAAAAACAGCATCTTAAAATGAATTTTCAAATATTAGATCGAAAATACGTGTATACTAGGAGGATTATGAGGTGTCTATAATAAATTAATATTAGATATGCCTTAATAAACGTTTGATTTCATAAATGTTCAACTTTAAATTTTACATATCTACTATTTCTCTCTTGTATTCACCAAAGATAATTACCAAGTACATTCATGTCTCATGTTTCATGTAATACCTAGTATATTACTGATATAGCAATACTAGACTACCTAGGGTTGAAAGTTTCAGTAAAATGCAAGAAAAATTAAAAATATAGGTAGCTGAAATATTAATAACATCTATAACTAAACTTAAAGTAATAAAATAAGTAATAAGTAAAATGGGGTATAATTAAAAAAATGTATATATGAAAAATATAAATTATACATTTATGAAATAATCTATAGTCTATAGAGGTACCTCTGAAAAACTGAAAAACTTTTGAAGACTTTTTTTTACCTTTCCACATAAAATGTCTTGAATATACCTGTATACACCTGATATATTTTTTATTACATAATAAACAATGAAATTATTAAATTACTGTTCGACTTATGCATATGTTTAATATTTTTAATTAAAAAGCGCAACAAAATATTTCTACGCACAAAAATAAAAATCATGTTTGAAAACCACCGTTCCACGTTTCGGCTTGATCAAGAAGTTTAATGAGAATAAAATAACACATATTCAACATAACTAAATACTAAATAACACATAACTCTAGAAATTTTATTCCTCAGGAGGACCATAGATAGATATTTATTTAACTGTTAATTTTAACAATAAAATTTTACTTTTTACGTGAAAAACTGCCTGTTTGTGCTGAGGGTCGCAGCCATCTTTTTTCGCAAGCGAAATCGACCCTTATCAACCGACTACGGTAGCGCCCTCTCTTCGAGACCTCTTGAACCACGAGGCGATTTATATCACCGAAATCCGAAATCGAAAAATCCGAACAATTACTTTAAACTCAAATCTGTCTCCATAAAAACTTTTTTACTGTATAAAAATACCTACTACCTTAGAATTTATATGGTAATTACCTTAGTATTTATCTCGATTTTTTTCTAGCCATTTTTAAAATACCTTTTAGAAGAGATTTGTTCAGATAATGTGTTGGCTCACAACCTTTTCCTGTTATTCTTCTGGAGTCTGTAACTTGTAGGGGTGATATGACGCTTCTTTTCAGCACTGCTTTTTTTTTCGCTATTACCTTCGAGCACTAGAGCTAGCAGAATGATCCCTCCGGTTTTCTTTTCGCGCTTCGCCGATCCGACGACGATATCCGAAATCCGACGGCGACCCGTATCTGAGACGACCGAAAAGATCCTCGAAACCGACGCATTTACGACACGATATGGTCAAAGGTCAAAGTCAAGTCAATAGTCGTCAGTAAGTCAGAAATACGCCGTTACGGCCTAAGAACGCTGGATTAAACTCATCGCCACTTCTGATGTAATCGGGAGATTAATATATTTAACTGAAATTGATATTTAAAATATAATTCTAACTAGCTTGACAAACAATGTCTTCTCTGGGCCGAAATCAATAATCTCTGACATTCAACTGTTTCCAAAGCCTACTACTCCGCTACTCGCCAACATCAGCGGACACGGGGTGCAGGCACGGCGTGAAAAGGACTGCCTATCATAAGGATCATAGGCGTCGATAACAGAATCAAATAAAATAAAAGGTTCAGATCAATTAATGATAGTGATATCAATATAGGACAGCCTGTATAACACAAAAATGTTTTAACTAAAATTAAAAACGAGCATCTTTTGCATAATCTCTTTGCAAATTTGATACAAGCAAAATCAAATTTTTAATGTCTAAATTATTTAAATTGATTTTGTAAAGGCTATTCATTTCTAGTGAATAAAATTAAACAATATGAAGGTTTAAAATGTCACCAAGGTTTAAATTTACACTGTGAACAAATAATCGCAAAAATAAGTCTCTACAAACATTATAGACCGATATAGTCTAAAAATAATTATTGTTTTAATAAAGTTTATGATTCAAAAATTATTTCTGTTTCTTATAAAGGTATAACGTTCTTTTTAAAATAATTAGGGACTAATTATTATTTTCAGGACGGTCTTGGAAAATAGTCTGTTAATAGAAATAAAAGGAGTTACACAATATGTTTCAAAAAAAATATGGTGATAATTGATAACAGAAAATGTTCGTACACAGGTCGATAAACACACAGAGTTTTTTACATAACACAATAATATTTGTTTGGATTTGCAAAAAGAAATTAGTATGCACAAAAAAATTGTTTTTTATGTTTAACAATTTATACAGAGGAGTTTAAAAGAAACCATTTAATTAATTTCGTGTTGTGTTGACTATATTTTATGTTATGGTTTTAGTAAAGCCCCCCCCTTCAGGATTTTACCAGAAGATAGAGTGTCGGAGGAATAAAAAGTTTAAATAATTACTTTTGTTCGGCCTCAAAAAAAAATAAATAAATAAAAAGAAATAGGAAGTTTGAAATACCAAAAGCTGTAACTTCAGACAATAGCAATTAAAAAAAATAAAGTTTATCAATATAAGAAATCAGACTGTTTTGCAACAAAAATAAAATAAATTAGCATTGAACGCAATGTCCTCACAACATTCTACTTCCTAAAAAAAATATTTATTCTGAATGTTCTCTTTGGAAACAGTATATGACTTCACTTTTTGAATGATTATTATTTTGTTCCATGATTTATTCGCTAATCTCTTTTATTGAAATCTGTTTTAGTGACATGTAAGACATACTTAAAGTGCTTCATGAATTATAAAATTATAAATGAATTGGGAGATATTATCAAGATTCTAGAACCCTAGAGAGAGCAAGGTGTCTCTTTTGGTAGCACAGCCGAGTAGAGTCATTTACAGATGATAAGTTTGCTGAGCGATTTGGAATATGAAGTTTAGAATATGAAGTATCTGTTTCTTTTATATAGAAACAAATTGAGCAACTACCTACTACTTATATAGTTGGAACTTGATTTCAACCATCATATGTATCCTTTCAAGTCATCACACCATTATTCACTCTGTACTATTTATTTAACAAAATTTTTAATGCATTTAAAAAAAAATCGAATTTAATTAAATTAAAATATAATTTCCAATCTGTAGTGTTCATCAACACTAAAGTATCAGAAAAAAACAAAATAATAATTTATGTTTATTACTTATGAATAGCAGTTAGGTACAGATATCAATTTCATTGCCTCCAGCTTTCATGGAATGTTGCAAATTTGACTGCTGTATATAGTTTATCAAAACTCAATAATTTCTTATTAAAAACAATTGAGTAAATATCATTTCCTATTTAACCACAACAGAGTTCAAGCAAAAACACTCAAATTGCACCCTGTATGTTTACAGGATAAAATTTTCTTTTTAATTAAAAATACCAAGAATTAAATATGACTAAGTACTTGCTAAACAAAGAGGATCAGAATATCATCAATATTTCTAATATTTCTATATTTTGTTTTAAAGACAACTGCGATAGTTTAATAAAATGTTCGAAGCATATTGATAAAAACTAAAGTTCTTTGGTAAAAAAAATAACTTTGGTAAAAAAAACCTGTTACAAACAAATTACTGCATACAATTAACACTGTATTTCGTACAAGGAATTATAAAAAAAATATACCAGTCTCTCATGAAGTTGACTATTATTAGTAAATTGATATTTGATATTTAAAACTGCATAAAAAAAAACATCTCCAGTTTAAACAAAAGTTTCAGTTTTAATTAATTTTAAATTTTACAGGAAGGTATAAAAATTAGAACTAAATGTTTTTATACTTTTAGCAACACGTAACTTTTAGCAACACGTGTAAAAGCACAGGGTTACAATGCTGCAACCCATATTAATTAATTAATGTTTGGCTTCGATAATGATCATTGAGGATCTTTGGTTGCAGGGGATTATGGGCCCAATCCTCTTCAACTGGGTTCTGATTGGTGGTCTATTTGAATCTAAACTTTTCAGTAAAAATAGTA